GTGGCAGACACAACACAACTCAATGGACTTCATCCTGTAGCGCTTTCTGTTCCCTTCCCTCTTATTTTTTTGTTCTTTTCCACACCAATACCAGGATTCCATTACCCATCCTGACAACCGACAATGACGGATTAGTTCATCTGAGAAGGGCTTGCCCTGGCATTGGGTGGGACATTCATTTGCTCTCCGCTTCGCAGTTCATATTGGGTCCGCCCTGGTCCCCCTGTCTGCTCCTCCTTGGGGACTAATAACTTTATCCGTCATCGGAGCAAAATATAATAGAGTAATTTTCTATGTGACGCGCCAGGATAATTGGCTGGACTCGGGCTTGTCCCATGTCCGACTCTGACCGGACCATATGTCGCTGCACTTGCAATCAGATAAATTGTGGCAGGAGGTGACAGCCACACAGAGCCAGACAGAGACAAAGGCGGGGTGGAGAGGTGACCAGAAGAATGGGGCAAATCACATAAATTACTTTATGATGGCATCCCAGCCAGGAATCTGGTAGGAAAACTTTCGGTCCGGCCTGGCACATGTGGTCACGGAGTGGCAAAAAAGTTGCAACTTCGAGTCGGCTGCTGCTACTTCTGCTGCTGCCACAAGGAAGCAACAAAAGTCATTTCGAAGTTATTACCCCGCTCCTGTGGACTGTCTTCTCTAGGATCCCTCTCCTTTGGTCGGCTGCCATTTGTTTGTCGCTTCATGAAAAATACAAAAAATAACAGAGACCAAAAGAAAAAGGCGGGAAAACAAAAGTTTTCCTTCTTTAGCTCTCTGAACTTTTGTCAGCTTCGTTCTGTGATAAAGTTTCTTTTCCCCCTTCTATTTTATTTTCCGCCTCTCAATTTTTTCTTTATTTTTCCTGTGAATGGGCTCTCGCACAATTTTTGACCATTCCGCCTGTTTTTCCTTCTTTTTTGTGGAATATTTTTGTATTTATTTTATTTTGTTTTTGCAGCAAAAGTTACCCATTCAAAAAAGTTGCATAAAAAATGCAATTCCGAATAAATTTTGAAGTTTCTAGTTACTTTTGGATCGCATAAATATGCAAATGATTAAATTGGGTAAATTTTAAGCTCTGCGCTTTCAATAGACTCTAATAAATAAACGGATTCGGATGTGTTGATCCTTGACATTTACTCAACAATTTAATTGTTTTTTTTTAAATTCCCTTCACAATAATTCAATTGAACAAATTATTTGTAATGAGTAATCCCACAAAGCCCAATAATGGCGCACCTCCATATGGAGATACTGATGCTGATGATGCACCACCAAATCCGCAGCCGGACAGACAGCCGGACAAGCCACCTCCAGGTCCATCCGATAATGAAGCCATCCCTGAACCGAGGGTCAGGCCTTCCCGATACATAACAACCAGTAAGGGAATATCACCATCCAATCTTCGAGCTTCCCTCCTTATCGCCTGAGATCTCTTCCAGCCGAGGATGACAAGGATTCGGGCTTCGAAAAGATCGCCGTCTACCTGTCCGTGTTCTTTGTGATCATTACATTTCCCTTGTCGATCTTCTTGTGCCTGATTGTGGTAAAGGAGTACCATCGGGTGCTGGTCTTTCGCCTGGGCAGGGTCAGGTGAGGTTCTGCAAATCATTGGAACTATTTCCAATCCCATAGCCGCATACCCTTTACTCTCTCAAGGAAGGGCATCAGGGGACCAGGCCTCGTATGGACTCTGCCGTGCATCGACGACTTCATCAAGGTAGATCTACGCACCTTCTCGACCGAGGTGCCCTCTCAGGACATCCTCACCAGAGACTCAGTGACGATTTCCGTGGACGCAGTGCTCTACTACTGCATCAAGGATCCCATGGATGCCCTCATTCAGGTGGATGATGCGAAGGAGGCTACCGTCCTGATAGCGCAGACCACACTGAGACACATAGTCGGAGCCAAGCCACTCCACACCCTTCTCACCTCGAGGGACACCCTGTCCAGGGAGATCCAGGTTGCCGTCGATGAGATCACGGAACGATGGGGAGTGCGTGTGGAGAGAGTGGATGTGTTAGTATATCCGTAAGCCTCGCCTAATCTTCCACTGATTATCTTGTGATCTGATTCTACAGGATGGATATCAGCCTGCCTCTGGTTATGCAGCGATCCTTGGCCAGCGAGGCAGAGGCAGTCAGGGAGGCAAGGGCCAAGNTTCGAGCTTCCCTCCTTATCGCCTGAGATCTCTTCCAGCCGAGGATGACAAGGATTCGGGCTTCGAAAAGATCGCCGTCTACCTGTCCGTGTTCTTTGTGATCATTACATTTCCCTTGTCGATCTTCTTGTGCCTGATTGTGGTAAAGGAGTACCATCGGGTGCTGGTCTTTCGCCTGGGCAGGGTCAGGTGAGGTTCTGCAAATCATTGGAACTATTTCCAATCCCATAGCCGCATACCCTTTACTCTCTCAAGGAAGGGCATCAGGGGACCAGGCCTCGTATGGACTCTGCCGTGCATCGACGACTTCATCAAGGTAGATCTACGCACCTTCTCGACCGAGGTGCCCTCTCAGGACATCCTCACCAGAGACTCAGTGACGATTTCCGTGGACGCAGTGCTCTACTACTGCATCAAGGATCCCATGGATGCCCTCATTCAGGTGGATGATGCGAAGGAGGCTACCGTCCTGATAGCGCAGACCACACTGAGACACATAGTCGGAGCCAAGCCACTCCACACCCTTCTCACCTCGAGGGACACCCTGTCCAGGGAGATCCAGGTTGCCGTCGATGAGATCACGGAACGATGGGGAGTGCGTGTGGAGAGAGTGGATGTGTTAGTATATCCGTAAGCCTCGCCTAATCTTCCACTGATTATCTTGTGATCTGATTCTACAGGATGGATATCAGCCTGCCTCTGGTTATGCAGCGATCCTTGGCCAGCGAGGCAGAGGCAGTCAGGGAGGCAAGGGCCAAGATAATTTCAGCCGAGGGAGAGCTAAATGCCTCGCAGGCTCTCAAGGAGGCTTCCGATGTCATGTCTCAGAACAAGATCACGTTGCAGGTGGGTCCTCGTTCATGAAAGTAAGCCTCTAACTGTCTGAGCCCTTTTCTGCACTTTAGCTGAGGCATCTGCAAATCCTTACCGCCATCGCAGCTGAACATAACTGCACGATTATTTTTCCCTTCCCCATGGAAGTGATGACTGCATTTGGAATCGTAGAAGGATCCTCTAAGAGCAAGCCTAAGGCGGATGGTAAAGATGGCGATGGAAAAAACCAACCATCAGATTTTTATCAATTTGGAGATTTTACGCCGAAGATCATTATTCCAGAACCACAAAATCTGCCAGAAGACCTCCGTTTGGAGGAGACTGGAGAAGAGCAAGGAACGAATGAACCAGAATGGAAAGTAGAACACTCAGAAGTGATCCATGAAGGACCAGGAGCTGTGAATGATAGTGTGGCTGAGAATGATGATAGAAATGGTGGTGAGAGCAATGAAAAGAAAGTGGATGACTCAGAATCGATTCAGGCACGAAAAGGTGATGTGAATGATAGTAGTAACTTCACGAGTATGCCATTGAGGCTTACCCGTCTAATTTCATCAACTTTTAGACGTTCCCATGCCAGGACTGGAGTCGAAACTGAAACTGCTCCTCCAGCCACGCACGCAGCTGATCAAAACCGAAAAAATCAAACTACAAATGAGTTCAGCTATTATTCCATAATTCCCGAGAAAAAAGAGGAACCAGATAGAAATATTAAAACTAGTTCAAAAACAAATCCAAAACCGCCAAATCCGCCTTCACCTCCACCTCCACCTCCACCACCGCCTCCGCCTTCGTCTGCGCCATCAGCACCGCCCTGGAATCCTTGGGACATTTACTAGTAGTTAATTGGGTTTTCCGGCAAATGGATAGACTATAAAGTAAAGCAATTGTAAACAATTGATGTTCGATTTTAATCTAAACAAGGAATCCATAAAGACAGTGTCACCTAAGGCTTTCTTTTCATATTCAAACTTTCAAACGAAACAAATCACTACGATATAAATTGTATATATATAAACTATATAATAGTTCTTCAAAATATGTCGGATCTGATGAAAATATTTGGAGGTTGGCCACCAGAACAGGGTCCAGTTGAATCAAAGCCCGAGCTGGACACCGTGAAGACGGAGGAGTTCGAGGTCAGCCCCATGGTCTTGGGCCTGATGCTGTCCTTTTTGCTGTTTGTGATCGTCTTCTGGATCTGGCTGATCTCCCGAAGCTGTCTGCTGGCACAGCCAGTGAAGCCAACTAAGGACCGAAAGCCGCGGCAGCAGGGAGGTCAAGCTGCTGGGGCCAGAAAATCGTTGGGGCGTCTCCTAAGCAAGAAGGGGCAGAGTGGCACTTCCTCTTTCAGCAAACAAAAGTCGAGCAGCTCGCTAACCTTGCCGCAGATCAGATCCCCACGACTATCGAGACGCTATTATATGGGCTTGGACCAGATGGAGCCCTACAAACTTCGTTTTCAGTCGGAGCGCACCTCAAGCAGTACAAAAACGATCACTCAAAGTGCAGTTAACAGAATAAAAGAATCAACATCCTTATCAGAATCAAGCAGTCGATTGTCTAAAGAATCCAACATAGGAAATACAACGTCTAAAACTGGAACGGAAACGGAAACGGAAACGGGATCATCACCATTGTCAGAATCAAGCAGTCGTCTGTCAAAAGAATCCTTCACGGGAAACTACACAACCGGAATGTCTACCTCACCCCACGGCTGTTTGGTGACGAATCGAAGCAGGACAGCGGGTTTGCCCATGACGAAATACAGAATCCGTTGGGCCAACTTGGGCAATCAGAAGGTTCGATTCATAGTTTAACATTTAACGTAATAAACACTGAAAGTTCCGCAGGACGGAGAACCCAAAACGGAGACTACCACCAGCGAGAAGAGTTGAGAAAGAGAGTTCAAAAAACGATTGGCATTCACCCTACACATTCGTTCCGTCAAACAAAGCAAACTGCTACAAATAAGAACACACTTGTAATGTTAAAAAAATAGAAAGAAATAAAATATATGAAATGAATCCTGCATGCAAGATAGATCTGGCTGGTCGTGAGTGCCAGAAGTGGATGACGAAGGTGTGCGCCCACTGCAGCAGCCTTCTGCCGGATGCGGAGCAGGCAGGCCTTTGGGACAGATGGTGGCCGAACGAGCTGCCGTCGCCCTACAAGTCCCTGGTCAACTACATGTCCGCCTTCGACTGCCACAAGCTGCGGCGAGAGGTGGCGCGTCTGGTGGAAGAGTCGCTGTCGTCAACAGACGAATCAACTGAGGTCTGGACATACTCTAGGATCTATATTTACATTTTTGTGGCCATATTAGTGGGCGTTGTCCTTATTCTGCTGATGTACGTACTGTGGATGCTAGTGGTTACCTTTCGACATCATCCATCGCCTTCGCCGAAGGGGAAGGATAAGGATGTGGAGGCAGCAAAATATAAGAAGTCGTCATCGGAATCAGCAACACTGCGTAATCCGGTCAAGCTTGCCTTTGCTGAGGCGTCCGATTCCAGGACGCACCACAGACCCTATAGAAAGGGCAGTAGCTCCGAGGTGAGCTCCATGTACAATCAGGCAAATAGTTCGTCGTATCCAGAGCCGGGAACGGCGCAGCAGGGTCGGCGAGAGCAGCACCGATACAAATAATAAACAATGCAAAGCCGAAGATCCCACGATAGAGTAAGGAGATAGACTCGGAAAGCAGAGCACGAAAGCTGCAAAGCATTTCGAGCTAGCGGAAAAAAAAATAAATGATGAGAAACGGGGAAAACGGGTATAAGCGAAAAATAACACCAACAAATTCGAAAACTGTCGTGGCTGTGCTCAATCGGGGAGAAGATTTATGAAATGTGTTCCGTTCCGGACCGATTTGTCCTTTTTTTATTCGCTGATTTTGTTTCTGGTTTTGTTTCGTTTTGCCTGTGTGCCGCCAACAAACAGAAGAGAGACAGACGGAGAAGAGTGCAAAAACAAATAAATATTCAACCAAATGTACAGTGGAACAAAAGCTTTGTCAAACATTTATATTTTTAATAATCAAATTAAAATTTCACTTGGGTTTTCGTATGAATAATTGAATACCTTTATGCACTTTTCATGCGAAAGACCCTAACACTATTTGGCGTATATTTTACAGGTATAGCCCACTGTAGCACACACACACACATGACCAGTGTGACCCCACCAAAGTGGCTTGGCCAAGTGTTGTCCCTGGCAGCGTATCAACATTTTGCCTATAAATACGGCGAATGTCGTTAATCTGGAATACAAGCAATTTTTAAAAATCCATAGACTATGGTTTATGGCTCGCCTGGGAGGGCAGCGCCAGCGGAATATGTACGGGGAATAAAGCCGGGTCAGAGTGCACGGGATTGGTCATAAAAAAACAATTGCATTTAATATCAATTGAATGCACACACATTTTAAAATCGAAATTCTAGCAAACAATTTAGAGAAAAGGCATTTATATTTATGTTATGTCTAAATGATTGTTCAAATTATGGATGGCAGCGCAAAATGTATGTGATTTTCTTTTATATTTCAATGAATTTATTTTCGGATTTAGTTGGGCAGTCATCGAACAACCAGACGGGCAGAATCGAACTCATACCCAGACACAGCGACCCTCGTATATTCTGTAGCAGTTGTGGCATTTAAATCACGGCCGCAACTGTAACGAAATTGAAAACTTTTACTCTACATGTAAGTATGTATATGTTGTTTGTCCGACTGTTTGTTTGTTTGTTGGTTTGTCCCACTGTTTGTTTGTCTGTCTGTTGGTACTTTTAATTCATTCGATGCTGCAGCTGCCGCTCCCGAGCGAGACCCTTGCCTGACTTTGATTTATTTGTCGGTCTCGATGTCCAAAATGGAATTAAAAGTTTAACGGATTGGCAGCGCTTTCCTTTAACGCTTTAGTGCTTTAAAAACGCATTGATTGCCATTGACAAATTGATTGGCTGCCTCCCAACATTCCTGCCTTTAATGTCAATTCCATTCCAGCTTTATTAACAATTTGCGAGTGCGACATTATGACAGTCTGTCGTCGTAAATCATCCGACCGCAGACCACGTACGAGCTGAAGCCTCTTTCTGGTTCTGTCAACCCTTTTGATTCGTTATTTCCGACTGCACAATTTCTACAAGCAATTTAATCCCTATTAATATAATAATGAATCTTCGTTATAATGTTTGGCACCTTCGGAAATCAAATTAGAATTCCATTTGCATTTGATGGCCTAACAAATATATTTATCAAATCAATCAACTGATGGAAAATTCGGCACAAATTATTTACTTCCATTAACACATTTCCTGAGCCCTTGCAGTGAAATGGGACTCTGATTTTGAGGCTACTGTGAGGAAGTTGTTGGAACACTTAAATATTATTCCATTATAAATAAACCTTCCCGTGTCTTTGATATTTGCAATAAACACTCGTGGTCAGTGGTTTCAACTAATTATAAAATATTATAAACTTTTTCTCCGTGTAAGGCTTTCATGCTCCAGCTTCATTCTTTGCTCGATTTAACTCGTTGATTTTGTGGCTTACACTCATTAAGCCAGCCTGCACCGACCCCTGCCATTGTGGGTGGGAGCCTGCTAACCCGTCCTAACTGGGCAGAGTTTGCCCCCCATTTCTTTGACCATTTGTGCCAGCTGTAGATCGTTCTTGGTTGGATTGAGACTGGCCCTCGTCTCGGAGTAGGATGGGCGTTTGTTTTCCTCACGTCCACCCTTCATTACTGAAGATGTGGCCTGCATGTGGACGTTGAGTATTATTCTTGGTTCGGTTCGGTTCGGTTCGGTCTCGGTCGCCGAGTTGATTTATTTTATGCCCTTGCGCCGGCTGCAATCATCAACCGGCCATTGTAGTAACTCGCCCACTGTTGGCCCTGGTGGTGCTATAGGATATATGGAGGATATTGTGTGTATCCGGGGGTCTCACTTTTCACGAACTCAAACAAAGTATTAAATCGCACAAAAGCGATATGGAAAATATTAATAATCTGGCCCTGGCCCTTGTCCATAGTCTTGGAATTTACGATGGCCCGTCGTTTATTTATTCCTACCCTCGGATCCGCCCATACGATATGACCTCATTACATATTCAGGGGTCAGCTGTGTTTGCTTTAAATTGTCCATTTGCATGGAGCGGGCCAGATTGTACAACTAATTTTTATGCAAGTTTCACAAAGGCAGCCACCAAGACTGCATAATTCAGCAGATCCGAATCCAGGTCCGGAGAGTTAAAGGCACATAATGTGGCAATCGGTGAAACATTCGGTAAATATGAATTTTAGATTTGATTGAATTTGAATTACATTGTGCGCTGCTTTATCTGTTTAGCAAGTATGAAATTTGCTGTGTGTCTTTTTTGTGGCTGAATCGCGCAATTTGACAAGATATAAAGCAAACAAATGCGATGGGTTTTGTGCTCAATAGGAGTATGTAAATTTGTGTGTGTGTTTCAGATATTGTTTGATGTGGCTTTGGTGGCTATATCGAATGGAATTGTGTTTTCCGACATTTGTTTTTTTTTATGGTAAATATAAAATTATAGACTGCCACAACTCTATTCCTATATTTATGCCATTTTTCATCACAGTAGCATGTCCTACTCTGCTGAACTACTGTTCTTCTTTTTGTACACTCTTTTAGCTCCTGTATTTGCAATCACCTCTCCTAAAGCAATGCAAATAAACGTAATAAGCAGCGACGGCAAAAAGAATAAAGAAGGAACGAAAGAAAGAAAGAAAGCAGAAGGCACGCAGAGGAGAAGGGGGGAGCAGATGCACGTCAGACGTAGCGTTGCTTTGGCAATATTCTATTTGAAGCTGTCTCTTTCATGCCTGAAGAAGAAGCTTGCTCTTTGCCCTTCTTTCTTCTCTGTTCGACACTTGAAGGTGGCAGGGCGTGTTAATTTGTTGTACCCTGTACTCTGAGAAATGAAAGGTATATTTGGCATTCTCAAACTGTAAGCCATCAAAAGTAGAACATACTAAAATGAATCCCATTGTCAGGTATGCTTCAGTCGAAATACCACTCTACATAATTATCGCTTGACCACTCAGCAAACAACAAAGTGCATCAAATGTCGAGCAAAACAATGGAAGCTCTTGTGGGTATGTGCCATTAATTATTTGGCTCATTGATTAAATGAGCTCACTTTATAATTGTTAATTAAATGGATATCATGCAAAGTCGTTCGGCTTTTGGAAATTATTCTACTGACATAATTAATCTACAAAACACAACATAGCAAACTAAAGAGAATAATTCAACAATTTAATGATGGTTAATAATCAGCCTTTGTGACAACCTTAACCTCAGTTGGGGAGTTACGACAAGAGACAGAGAGCCCAGCGACCTTTTTGAATGTGTGCAAATCAGTTTTCACAGCAAATTAGGCAGCCACACATTAAAACTTTGACAGACAGGTCCCGGTCTGGGTCCCTGCCCCACGCGCACCCACCGACCACATATGAAATCTCAGAGCCAACACCAACCCTACCCTTGCCACCTAGCTGGGGGGAGGGGGAAAGTTCATCCGACGGCTCTTAAAAGTACACATGTAGCATATGTATGAAGAGCATCAAAAGTTTTAAAGCAGCTGCCACTGAAGGGCAAAGGGGTACGCCACTCGCACGCCATTCCCACTCCCATACAAAAAGTCACAGAGAGACAGCGAATGAAAAAAAAATGGGGTATGGAAAGGTTGTATACGAAGTTCGAGGCGTTTGATACCCTTGGAGGTTCATCGTGTTGTTTAATTATGTCTTGTATGACTTTCCCTCGTACATCTATCTTCAAAACCAGTAGACTCATTTTCTCACAAATGCTTGGCATAAGACCTCTGCACTAATGTGAAATTTTAACTAAGAGCCGGAGACTAGTTTGGGTAAAGCAGGAAACAAATTCTCTTTTGCGTGCCAAGCTTCTAATGCAAGTTCTAATACCCACTGAAAGGGCATATGAAACTTTACGCGGCCACAGGAGCATGAAAGAGCCAAGAAAATTCAAACAAAAGTGCAACCAACTTTGGGGTCACGACTCCTCTTATTTTTGTGCCGCCCGCAGAAAAAGTTTGTTCTTTGTCCTCAATTTTTTCTTTTCCCAAAAGTACGTTTGTCGTGTAGTTTATCCGATGAAATACAATCAATAATGAGATATAAAGCATCGATAAAAATGTGGCAAGTAAAATCAACAAAGACCAAATAAAGGCAATTTAAAATGATTTAAGGCTGTGGTAACTTTCGATGGGCTCAGATGTTTCTGCACACAACTACGTATACGAGTAGCTGCCATTTGTGGTGGTTAAGCGAGCTCTGATTTGTTTGAAGACCTTCAATAAACGGACTCCAGCTAATTCTAGTCCAGCTAGTCCACCTCCAATATTCGGTTAAAATTTCGATCGGTCATGCCTGCCACATAAACCACAATGAGAACACACAGACAACATGCATTCATTGCTCCTGGTCTTCAATTCGAGCATCCTGCTCGGTCTCAGCCTCGACCTGTCCTCCGCTCTCAACTAATTTGATTGCCCGATGATGTAACCCCACAGCCCCTAGTGGCAATGGTTCGTTTCATGTTCCTGCATCTGCGAAAGATTTCTCGGACGCATCTATTCCGTTTCCATTCATATTCCCATTCGGCACATTTGGAGGAGTTGATTTTGTGTTTTGATTTTTAGAGGCTAACTGTTGCATGCTGTTCCCAACGCAGAACGCGCATGTCTGTTCTCACAATGTGTTCCCATGTTAACCGTTTGAGCTGTAGACTGTTCCCAGTTTTTCAAAAATTCAAATTATCTTAATGGCCAAGGTTAAAGAAACTTTTAAATTTCCAACATAAGAAAATCATAGTAAAACAAAAACAAAATCCTATTAAAATATTCTC